GTCTCGTGCGCGGGGTTTAGGCGCGTATGGGGGAAGATCTTAAAAACGGGAGGATGACACACGGGGTAGGAACATATATCCGGAGTTTTTTCCTGGTTGCCGAGTTGAAAGTGGGTGACAAAATGCACTCGCTTTCCTAACACACACACACACAGCCTCTCGACAATATGCGTTTTTACAGTGCAGCGGCTGTAGCGCTATAGCGCATAAAAACAAGCTGGTAGTTTTGCTCTCATTTCCCCGTCGCATGTGCAAAAACTACCGCCACATACGTCTGGCCTCACGTACAAATGTAAATTCCAACAAAACGCACCTGCAAGGATAATCCCGCTCGACAACTTTGAAACCCCTGATGCAATGCGACTACCAAAATCTAAACATAGCACTGTCAAAATCGTACAAAAAAACGACCGTATCCGTCCACATTCTCGAGGCAAGTAGAATCCCCTAAGTGACCTTAAGACAGACTACAGCAGCATAGCAAAACCCGAAAAGTAGACCTCAGCCCAGGTGACACAAGTGCAATTCCAATAATGCCCATGCTTCTCAGCATATTGAACAGGCAAATACTCTAACCATACAAAATTTGCTCCCGCGCTCCCAGCTTTTAACAGTTCAAATACATTCAGTGCATCTGCAGTCTAACTTTTTCTGAAAACCTTTGTTGTTTGAAATTCAGGATGCTTAATTCCGTCCTGAAAATGTTCATCCTAACGATTTATACGTTATATTTTCGCGGAATTTGGATCTCACGGAGCTTATGGAAATTTAAGGAACCCAGAGGGACAGCAGCACAAAACCGATGAAACAACAGAAGCAAATCCTGTTCTGGCCTACATAATGAAAGACTTGAAATGAGTTTGCACGATAAACTAAATACAAAAAAGCAACACGTCAACTGAGCATTTTCAAAAGTAATAAAGCTAAAATGCGCAAAAAGCAATTTTTCGATGCAACGAAAGCATTAAAAGCAACCGATTTAAAAGCTTTTCTGCTTTCAATGATGACTTCCTTCCCTTCCTTCATCTTCCGGTAATCAACATGTTCCTTTTAACATGGCGAAATGAGGCACTGTACTGATGATTCCCACCCGAATTCGTACCAATTTTGCGGTCTGTGTTTACAGGTCAGGGATGAAACACGGAGAGATTACCAGATCACAGCACATATAGGCTTGCTTATTTGGGAGATTTAAATGGCACTTCCAATTTTTCAATAATTATCAAAATTTGACTGTGTTCCTCTCCACTGTATGCCAACAACGCCAAACAAACTACGTATGTTAGCACATGGAAAATTTCAAGCATTCGTCCTCCTTCAATCTCCTAATCAGAGATATTCACTGTTTGTATCTTTATAATTTCTGGAATATTTACTAACAAGCACTCCTTCCATTTCCTTTCTAATTCCTGAATGAACGCTTTTGCACCTCGCAACATTAACAAGTTCACCACACTTTTCTACATCAGACAGTAATTCCGACTATTACGATCTACTGCTTCACTTCCTACGCCAATTAAAAATTATACAGTTCCATTACTTAGAAGCAAATGGGTAAAGATCAACCCCACTCGATATTTCACTCTTTGAAAAGTGGGAAATGGAGAAACTCAAAAGTGCAGCGGAATCACATACTTATAGCAACTCAGCATTCAGCAAGGCCATCAATGATCCCTCTTCAGGGACTGGCCATCATCACTCCACAACAAGTGGCAGCACCGATTTGCTATCGAAACGAATGAAAGGACAGGAACAAACTGAAACATGGGGCCAATTCATCGATCTGAGCAACACGGCATTACTACCTGTTATAACAGCAAGCCTGCCAATGCAAACATAGCCTCAAGAAACAAGCAAGCATCCCCCCCCCCCAGTCAACAAAAGGCGGTGAAGTGCTAAAGGAAATGGAAAAGAGAACGACCGGGAGAAAATTCCAGCGGGGAAATCCGGCTGTCAAACATTCGAAAAATTTCAAGATTTCTCCCTCATCCCTCCCGTCGCCCAAAAAGAGAAAATAAAACAAAAAGCTAACGGTGAGATAACATGTCAACACACTGAAAATGCTACTCAAGTAAACGATGAATCACAGATTTTCCAGTTTTGTGTTGCATAAATCCTCTGCTTTTCGTAAAATTTCCATTTCTGAGGATTTCAGCCTTGGAATGTAGTGCTGTTGGATCGCTCCCAAAGAACGGGGAGTAACAGACATCACCATCGTTGAATCGGTTATATCCGTAATTTTCTCCCGATAGGCTCGAAGGAAAAGTGCAAACCGATCACGAAGAAATCTCCATGCTTTCTGAATATTTTCATCAGAGTTTATGATTTTCTTTGCCTGTTTAACCGAAACCACTTCATCCATGACATAAATTCGTGCAAACTGTACCAGCGATTCGGGGATACACGGCTCAACAATCTTCAGTTCAAAAACAAAAACATTCGATGCTATGGAGAAGCCAAGCTTGTGAATTAAATCCAGGCGTACTTCTTCACGTTTCGTTTTAGGCAATCCTGAAAGCAGCGAGACTTACAAGTAGGAAATGCGTGAAACTGATTTCTTTGAGACTTGCTAATCCGTTTTAATGGCAGAGTGGTGTACGAACGTGCCTCGAAGTTACACTCTCCCACAGACAGCTCACAGAAAACAGCGTTGTTGTTTCGAAAGCGAGCGGCTTCCACTGGTAGAGTGCTACTACCAGAAACACTTCATTAGTCTAGTGCAGCAAAAAGCTTTCTGAGACGGTTGTAAACGGGTGTCTTGAAATTATTCGTATGTGACTGATTACTCCATACCTCTTCCCGCAAAAAACAGTCATTTTGAAGGACAACGGACTAACGGACAAGCTAAAAGACCAAAAATTGGCACAGCGAATGTGATACATGTTTAGCGTTTGCACCCAAAGAAGGAGAAAGAAAATTAGACCAGCAGTAGTAAAAGGTTGGCTAGGTGAAGCAGCTTCAATCACAGCAATCAGCAACTGAGACGAGCTGCCTGCGCCAGGACATGAATGAGTGTTACATTGGCATAATAAGGTACCGAAGTACAGCTTCGCAACAAATTTGCCTCTTTTTATCAGATTTTGTAATTTCGCCGAATCCTAAGCTTTTTCAGTCCCAGGTTCCAACAAATATGAAACCATAAAAACCGGAAAGGGTTGAAGAATCGTCATATATAATCATCGACATACATCAAGACATCTATCACGGATCACATACATAACAGAGGCAAAAATTCCCGCCCAAGGACTTACCAATGCGTAATTTGTAGACATCCCGAATATTTTTACCTTCAGGCACGAAACCATTGTGCAACAGGAATTCACTACTGCTTCTCCAGCCATAAAAAATGGTCACCGGTTCAGAATGTTTGTAATCATGAACTGCAATGATTTCCGCGCAGTCTTCTTCCGAAAAGTGCACAGATTTCGACACATTTTCTGCTAATAACTGATGATTGGCCATATCCAGAAATGGTATCAGAGCCGGAATCTGCAGAAAAGAAAATAAATATTACAGTTGGCGTCGAAAAACCTGTAGAAGCAATATTCGGTGCCCGATTTCAGAGCATTCGTGTAAGTTCATCACACCTTGTTTCGAATGGAAGCCTCCATTTACTCAAACCTATCGGCATTCACAATCCATTCCAGTCTTGATTAAACCTAGTCGAAAATTTAGTCTTCCTCGGTGAGGAGATGAAGCGGTGATTTTGTGTTAAATTCACGTAGGTGTATGCCAGATAGGACAGACCAGCCGGTCTGCTTATTTCTTAAGGAATCCTCGGAAGGGTAATTTATCAGCAGTTTAGCAAGTAAATGGAAAAGTGTTACCAAACTGGCCGTAGATGAGTGTTACCATACTGACCAACATAACATTAAGGAGATTTTGAGCTCAAATTTCAGAAACATTAGAAAAACAAAGTGAAATGGCATTTGAAAATGAAAAAATAATGACATAAAAAAACAAAGTTACAATTTTTTTAAAGCACCCAGCTTGAAACAAAAGTCAAAATCCCACTGCAAGTGCTTTCAATGAATAAAGGACAGGCGCACTGTGTCAGCTGCCCGAGTGGCTGCAAGAACCAACCATGGCAAGTCCCTTCGAGCACTACTTGCACAGAGGGTTTAAAATTTCTTCGATATGCAAATATTAATTTATCATCGAAACACGAGGGACAGGATGATGAAGTCGAGCCCAAGTTCTTCCGCAAAACAGCACTGCAATTTCCTGCAGCGTGGTGCCCGCAACTGGGTTTGAAGTTGCTTTAGAGGTAATGAAACAAAATAAATTTACAACATTTGAAAAAAAAGTTTTCCGTGGGGCCCATCGTCACACTTATAAGCTGACCAGAAACAAGCCGCCGGCAAGGCTAAGATATCATTTTTGAAGACTAAAACAACATGGGAAAGGCACGATTTTTTGAAGTTGACATAGTGAATCGAGATGAGAAAACAATGAAACGCACCATTACGGGTTTACCCCGCTGATCTTTTACCAGGTCACTTGGTATCATATTGATGCGAGTTGAAACACATGCAACAGACCATCGGTATAGATCGAACGTGAAATTCGCAGCGGTGAACGGTGAATTCAAATACGTCGGCTCGTCATCTTTCTTCGATTCTTTCTTGAACTTCTTGAAAAATTAATTTGTGTACAGTTTACAAAGTTACTCGCCTTGCTGACTGTTTAACTGAACAGCATACTAGCAAATGCCATCCATGAGAAGAAAACGACCGCTCAGGCAGCTCCTATATTTACATCGAAAAACTGTGGGCATTAGTTTGGTACATCTGAGCCCGATATGTAAAAACATCTCAATAATAACACCATTAGCACTGGATCATAATACCGACTACTCGGGCGGTTCTCACAGTTATTATGGCCAAATGAAAAGAGGAGCTGCCAAAATTTTATCCAAAAAATCACCTTTTTCTTGAGACGAAATTCGTCAGCGCATATAATTTCCAATAAAAAGTGAACAAACTGTCGGGCAACATTTCGAAACAGCAGCAGTGATTCCTCAAAAACTGGTGACGGTCGCAAGCTCTGTAAAAATGAGTTGCCTATAAAGTTTCAAACTTCTTAAAAACTCGCATCCCGAAAGTCCTAAACTTTTGGGGGGAAAAGAGAGATGAAGATTGAGTAAAAGATGGGGAGAGGAGGATAATCTGGGGCAAAATTTGAACAAGGAAGGAGAAGGGAGTAGGGAAGACGGAAGGAGAGTAAAAGAAAATAAAAAGAAGACAAAGTGGTCCTCACATTTAAGAAAATCGAGTAAAAAATTGCAAAAACTTGTTAAAAAAAGAGGGATTCTTCCGAAGAGAGGGATACGTTTGTCAGTCTCTCTTTTGCAGCTCAGTGAAAAAACACTTTTTCTTTCATGGGGGTGTGAAGAAAGGGCCAAAGAGCACATCAGAAAGGAAGAGAGAAAGGATATCAAAGAAAAAAATGAGAAAATTCAGTAAAAGCCACAAATTTATTTGGAAGGGATAAAGCAACACTCGTCTATAGCAAGGTAAAAGTTCTTAAAAAAATAAACGGAATTTAATCAGAAAGGTCATTAAACTCATAAAATGCAGTGGGAAATGCAAATGCTAAATATGAGCTGATGGGATGCGGTAACAGTAAACACATGTAATTTTGGGCAAAAAAGCGCATCGAATATAGAATGCGCTTCATTCTACCGACTGTAGCACAGGTAAACACGCAAGATACACCTTCGTCGGTTAAATTACCTCTAACAAGTAAACAGGGAAGAATAGTGGCGTGTCGAAATGCTTAGGAAGAACATTGATATACGGCTGCCACATCGAGTTGGGATCCAACTTCTGTGCACACAACATCACTGCTAAAGCAACGTTTTCCATTGAGCGAATTATAATATCGGAATCGAAAGCACGCCTAAAATCACGAAAAACTTCCAAAATATATCACAAATATCAAGAATATCAAGTCCGACGATGTCACCAATTTGGGCTACTGAGATGCTTCCACACACCAGGCGCACCGATGCCACCAAGCCTTTCGATCTTGGGCTGCTAACCTCCAGTAAGTACTATACCCCAGATATTTTTAAACAGATTCATTGTAAGACATTGTAAGATCATTCATTACATACTGTTGTTCATGTTGCTTGGTTCAACAAAACGGCAAGTAGCCCTGATTTCAATTGATGCTTTGAACCCGCCGGTAGAAAGATCAACCAGTACCTCCTAACCTTCGTTTCGATTGTGAACCGGTACCGAAACAAGAAAAATTAGAAGAGCCAACAATCTATTTTTACACATACTTCAAAAAAGAGAGCTGGATGAGGCATGATTTCACAGCGGAAAATCGGGCTTCTTTGACTGGGACGAAGAAAAGTGACTAATTATGCGTTTTGCTGTGCAGCGCTATAGCGCTGCTACAGCCAGCAAAAACGCATATTGTCGAGAGG